ATGAAGGTGATCCTGGTCACAGGGGGTAGCAGGGAGCCGGACTGAGGGCTGAGCATGCGGGTCTGCGCTGTTCCCTGAAGCGAGCCGTGACAGGTGCAAGCAGAAAGACAAAGCCTGGAGAACAGAGTGTGGTCAGGGTTAGGGGCAGCACGGGCAATATTGGTGGAGGCAGCATGGGGCGAACAGTCGAAGATGAGCAGACGGCACACGACACAGACAGTGACAGCATGGAGGTTGAGGATGGATGGCCACAATGGGGGCTTGGCACAGGGCACCCTGGGCTCTCCAGTAAGGCCCATACCCTACACCTTGGGCTCACGGCAGCCTGAGGCTCCTCAGTGGCTCTGTCCATGCTGTCAGCGGGACTATGTAGGCACCACCACCCTTGGTGGACACCAGCCTCCAAAGGCTCCCACTCTTCTGACCCTGGCTGCTCCCCTCTCCCCAACCCCTCAGGGAAACACCAACATACCCCTCGGGTCCTGGCTAAGCTTTGCCTCCTCGGGAAGGCCTCTAACCCCACGAAGAGGGTCCACGTTTCTCTGGGATGAGCAAACCCCACCTCTCTGGTGCAGGCATCAGTTGGCCCCCAAAACCTCAGCTACGTAACTGACTGATTTGCACCAATCTCCTTTACAAGCAGGGACCAGTGCTTTTCTATGAACCTTGCACAGCAACTGATGGAACCACCTGGATAGGCATGGCCACAGCTTGGCCAAAGACGCTACGGGAGGCTCAGCCCCAGACTTACTACAGCACAAGGCCTTTGACTCGAGGCCTTTTCTGGCTTTGGCGTTCTGAGGTGACATGGAGCACGACAGGCAGAGAGCAAGGATTTTAGTCTAAGAGAGCCACTACAGACACATGCCAAAGGGGGACTGAGCCAGGCCAAGTGACAAATCAAGCCATCTGTCATAGCCAAGTTCCCTGGGCCCTCTGCTGAAGGACAAGGGAAACACACAGATTCAGTCTCTGCAGGCTGGCCAAGCACAGGCCTTCCTAGTATCAGCCTCACCTCTGGCCAGGGGTGGAGGGAGATTCAGATCCACTCTCTCTTGGCTCCACCCTGACTATAGTAGGCAGTTTTGGATGAGTGCCCACCTGCCCTCAGCTCTGGTTCCTCTTGGGAAACAAAGGCATGGCCAAGCCTGCAGGGCAGCTGTGAAGATGGAGATATGCTACTACCCTGCAGGCACCTGCCCAGAGCCCAGCACACAGCAAGCACACAGTACTGAGTGGTAGGGCATAATTACACAGGGGGCGCGCGCACGCACACACACACACACACACACACACACACAAACATACACATGCATACTATACACAGGGTAGGGGTAGAGGTTTTGTTCAAAGATCTCCTTATGTTGTTTGAACATGTGTAAAGAATAATCACTGGGAGCCCTTGAAGGTCACAACTTACTCCTCTGGTCACTTTGTTTCCTCGTCAGGATGCTTCCAACACTAAGGATTTCAGCCCTGTGGGCAAATTCTAAGAGACTAATGGAAGGGAGACGTTAGGCAGGGTGGGAAAGCACAACCAGCCAGAGCTGCCAGCAGCACAGCCTGGGACGAAGCTTCTCTCTCTGTTATCTCTCTTGCTCTCTTTGCAGCTTGGCCAGAGGGCCCCTCCTCAGGTCAGCCGTGAGTGCCCTCCTGGCTGTTCGGAGAAGGGCTGGCTTTGACACCAGGCTGCGGTACAGTCAGAGTGACCATGAGGGGCTGATTCCAAAGGATTTTTACCAGATTACGCACGGGCTGCAGGATGCTCCCCACCCTAGTGCAGGCAACACAAGGTTGCAGGTGAGGGTAGTTCAGAGAACAAATTGGGTCCTATGAAGCAGCTACTATCAAATGTTAGGGAACCTACATATACCTGGAGCTATTTTTCTAAATCTTTTCTAAATCTTAAACCAAATCAGAATTGACCCTAGCTGATTTCTGGTTTTGAAGGCAAAGGCATACTAATGTGGGAAGGGAGCTCTGATGCAGGTCTCCTAACCATGACCAAGGAAAGTCCTGATGCCTGACTCCCTCTCCCACTGCTGGCAAATTTTCTGTGGGGGTGGGAAGCTGGGATCCAGAAAGCCCCACGCCCAGCCACTGAGGAGCTGCCGGCTGATTCAGAGGACACTACCTGCACCTCTTGTAAGGCCATGCCACTGGCTGAGAGAGTTGGGGTGCCTAGGGGTACTGGCCCCAGAGCTCAGGCTCTTCCCTCTATGCAGTGCTACCTAGGCTGCCCCTCACTCCACCATGACCTGGATAACTCCATCTAGGAGGTGGCTACAAAGTGTTAGCACTTTGATTTAATACCCATGAGGAAGACATTACCCCATTCAACAGGTGAGGAAACTGAGAAGTGAGGTCCTTTGTCCAAGGTTGCAGAGCACAATGGAGCTGGGACTGGAAATCAGATCCTTTGATCAGGGCCTGCTGTGTACTTGCCTCCCTGTCTGACTTCCCCATGACTGCTTCTCCTCAGCTCGAAGTGCCCAGCACTCTCCTGGTGGTGCGAGGACTCAGCGGTGGCCTGTAATGAGTGCTAACGCCCTGTCCTCCCACAGTAGACCCAAGGCTGGTCTCAGGCCAAGAAACTAACTGGAAAGTAGAAGCTACATGTTCTCCCGGAAGGAGAAGTAGGAACAGAGGTGGGCAGTGTGGGCCCCAGAAGCCACCAGCACATCCCCTGACACCAGCAATCTGCTGCTTCTCCCTGGAGCCTGGGTCTTCCCCTAGGAATTAGTGTAGCTGCTGAAAGGGCCACTTTAACATTCTAAGACCACAGCTATTTTAGGACCCCAAACATTTTCATGTTGCAGACACTGCTTTCTCTCAGAGGTGAGGCAGCTGAGTTTTGAAAGCCCTATGCAGCCAGGCCTGGGCAGAGCACGCAGGTGGCCAGTGTGGGGCTATGAGTGGGCAAAGGTGGGCCATGGGATCCTGATGGCTTTGTATCATTGACAGGAATCACTTTGAAAACATTTTTTATACAAATAATCAAAATTGTGCAACTGCTGAAACCGTATTTGAATTTATTTGTATGGTTCCCTCTGCAAACTTCCAGAACAAATAATTAGCATGCTGGCACCCAGGACCCGTCATGCCCAGTGTCATGCCTGAGTGATCTGCAGTGGCTCAGCAACAGCTTCATGCATGTACATGCGCCAACATGGGACAGCTGGCATCATGGCCCCCTTTCTGAGGTGCTCCTACCTCCCTCCTTCACTGCTTCTAGAGGCAGACTTAACCCTAATGGGCTAACAGCCCAGCACAGTGGCGCCTGTGGCATGAACTCAGCGGGAGCCTGCAGAGCTGCAGAGGACAGTGCTTGCGTTCCCCAGCCCAGGTACATTTGAGCAGGGCCACATGGCATGTAGACAACCAGGAAAGGCATTCTCTCCTGAAAACTTTGGCATAATACTTCCTCCCAGGAAGCAGCTGGCAAAAACTAACTCCCCTAGCAGGGGTTTGCTGCTAGTATGTTTTCTCAATATTCTCAAGAGTAAAAGGTTGGGAACAGGGTGATTAACTTAACTAAGAAAGGGAGAAAGGATCTTAACAGGGAATGTCTGCAGAACTGAAGACTGGAGGGGCAGGTGGGTCAGCCTCCTACCTCTGCTCAACACTCTGGGGTGGGCAGGGAGGTGCCAACGCTGAGACTGGGAATAATGACACAAACCTTCTGGGAGGTAAGAGACACAGCACACACTCAGATCCTCAGCCTCTCTCAACACGCATGCTGCAGATCCAAACCAAACCAGGAGGGGACACTGCAGCTCTCCTTTCCTTTCTTGAGAATAGCAAATCATGCCCCCAGAGAAATGGAACTCTGGCCCCTTGTCATCCTTTCTCCAGCACTTCTTTAAACCTGCTCTCAAGTCCTACCCACTCAGTTCAGAAAGTTGTGGGCAGATGCCTATGCTATATCCAGGAACCTGAGCACTGGGCAGGGGCCTCAGCAGGGCACTAGAGTGAAGGTGGTGCTCCCCCTGCTCCAGACCTGCACTGGGACTAAACTTCAAGGCTACCATGGCACCCTAAAGGGCCCATTCTTACTCCAAGGAGCCACTTTTATAAAAACCACCTTGCAGGAAGCACAGCCCTGGGACCAATTCTATCCACCTACTAGCATCCCCATGCCTTGGGGAATGCAGAGGAAGGCCTGTTTCCCCAAACCCAGATGAGATGAGTGATATGGGAGTGAGGGGCCAGGTGTCTTTCAGCATTGTCACTACCTCCCAGGACTCCACTTTAGTGGCCCTCTTAAGTCACCAATTTGGCTTATCCCAGCAACACTTTGTCACTAGCTTATCACTATAAAAATGAGAGAACATGAAGAAATCGAGCTACAGGCAGCATGCAAGCCTCCTAATGTTAGGAAGGAATGTGGTTGAATGGTCGCCACCTGCCCCATCCCACATGGGACGGCCACACATATGGTCCCAGGTGACCCCCATTAACAACCTATCTGGATTCTCAGGTGTGACAGACTTAGCACTAGTCACGGCCTTCCCTCAGCCGTCAGAAGGACAGAGCAGTTACAACGCGCTGCTGAACAACGCAGGTGTCACTAAGCTGACTGCACCAGGAGCCATTCCAGGAGGCCACAGTCTTCTAACTGCCTTCCATATTGCAGGTGGGAAAAGAAGGCTCAAAGAGGTGAGATGCCATAGCCTGGCCTGCCCCTCCCCTGGCTCCCAGGTGGGCAAGCTGGCAGGTGGCGACCCTGAGCATGTCTCAGAAGCACAAGAATCACCGTGAATCCACGAGGTTAATGAGCAGCCGCAACATTGCCCATGTCACCCCAGACCCACCACCCCGCTCACCAAAACAAAGTGACAAAATGAGTCGCCCAAGCCCTCCCCGTGATTGATGTGCACCCTGGGCTGGCAGTAGGGAGAACAGGGACTGTACATCCGGCGTTGCCTGCTGGTGGGGTTTTTTACATTTGACGTAGTCGTGGTCAATCGGAGTGGCTGTGTAAGGTGGGGATGTCAGACCTGGGCCAGAGGAGGAGGGGAGGGAGGCTCCGGGGCCCGGCAGTGTCCCAGCTGAAGAGTGGGAGTCCTCGTCCACCAGGCAGGCCTTTCCCTGTGGGATCAGAGGTTTGGGGAATAGGTCAGAGTCTCCACCTCACATTGAAACAGATGTGTGATGGTGTGGGTGAGTGCCCTTCCCAGAGCCCGCTGCTCCCATGCACCTCTGGTGGCCCCTGCCCCATCTGTCTGGTGTCACACAGCCCAGAGTTGCCCTCACAGCACCCACACAGGCTCTGTCTCCTAACTGGATGTTGCTTAATATTTCTCGCAGGGTGCAACCGCATTTCTGCATCTCAGGCCCCAGGAGGCTCTATAGGGGAGCCAACGTGTCTTTCCTCAGAAGCTCCCTCGCATCTCTCTGCTATGTCAATGCCTCTGTGTGACAGCCTGACAAATTTCACCCCTGCCAAATGGGCGGGCAGAAACACAGCTGCATTTACTGCATGCTCACACATGTACAAGGATATGTGCCACAACATGGTTGAGCAGAAACATCAGAAACACTCTCCATGTCCACTGGAGTGGTTAGTAAAACAGAACATCCATACTATGGTATAGTAAGTAGTCACTAGAAAGAACGAGGTGAATGGGGTACCATCTCTGTGGACTGTGCCCAGACCCACTGTCAGGGGAAAAAGCAAACTCTAGAATAATACCTTCTGTAGTTCATTTTTAGAAAATAAAAGAAATCCCACAATTGTATGTGTGTGTAAGTGTATAAATACAGAAAATGATTTAGGAAATTAAACTGTGAATAGTGGCTGACTTTAAGGAGAAGAGATCTGTCACATTTTAGTCTACATGTTTATATACTACCTGAATGTTCTGTAACTAGAATGTATCATGTCTTATTTGTACAAAAATGTCAACAAATAAAAAAATGTCAACAGAATTATGATCAATGAAAGTAAGTATCACTGTATGCTGGGGGCCCTTGTGACTACCAAATGGGTATCTATAACTTCTGAGCACACTGGCTGCCATGCACAGGCCTGCTAGAAGCTGAGGGCACCCGCTCTGTGGAGCTGGCTCACCTGTGGCACACGTCACACAGGCTATCTATGGCCAGAAGCAGACAGCCCTCAAGCGCAGAGCCTGAGTGCAGGCCTCTCTGGCACTAAAATGGACTCCACACAGTGCCCAGCCAGGCATCGGTCCCAGAGATGGGGTGAGCTGAGCCCTCCTCTGGCTCCCAGGTGAGCAAGCTGGCAGATGGCAACCCTGAGCATGTCTTGGAAGCACAAGAATCAGTTAATGAGATTAATGAGCAGCTGCAATATTCCCCTTGTCACCCCAACCAATCTTTCTCCCTAAGACTTGCCCAGAGGGTAGAGCAGCACCAGGACCTGGGCCTGGAGTGAAAGAAGTCTGGGCTGCAGAGATGACTTATAACCCCAGGGAGATGGGGTCAGTCCAGGCCCACTGAGGGGACCACACCTGAGCCCCAGTTTCTCCGAGCTCTCTGCCACCACAAGAGAAGCCCAC